GTTAGGCATTAAGAATAAAATCATGCCTTTGAGTACACAACTACACAAGCATAACAGAGTAGTATCCAGTGAGCATAACTTGTTTAACGCTCAAAATAGATTTTAGCTTCACTATTGTTGTCCGCAGCATTGGTTTATTACTTGAAATTGTTTAGTTCCAAAAGAAAATATCAATGGGTGCTTGTCCATGGGATATTTAAGGGTACTATACTTAAATTATTTAATCACCTTGCTCTTCCTCCTCTCCCTTACTCTTTCATCCCTCCTCTTCCATCTTTTTCTCATCCCAATCATTCTTATGGGTTGATTGGCTCAGTCTGCAAATTGTTTTTATATATTTATATAACAAACGGCCCAATCTGCAATTATAATTTGCTTGCCTTTTATTTTCTTAAATGTCAGAATCTGCTTTCTTCTGAAAAAACCATGCGGCCCTCAAAGTGGAGCCGAGGTTGCGAGTTGATGACTTTTCCCCCAAATTTCCCATTTCAAAAGTAATGATAATATGCATGCTTCCCTTTTTTTCTTTAAGATCTAATATGTTCGCTTTCTATTTTATTATGGTCATAACTCAATACTTCTTTTTTAATTTTTTTTTGTTTCTGTCAATGGAGAATGTGGTCTCTTTTTTTCTTGTATTGTAAAATTTGTATGGCACGAGTTAAATGAATTAGTTCAAAAATCGAAACAGGTAAACTGTTGGAAATGGCTAGTGCAAAGCAGCATTCGCATTCGCACGACATACTTGACTGCCAATTAGTCCAAAAGAAAAACGTACATCTGGATTTCCAAACCGTAACACGTAATATATGGGAACAAAACGCGTAAATTTTCAATCGGACTGAATTTCCATGCAGAATGATCTTAATGGCCCAATTAAAAAAAAAAAAACGAAGGGCCTAAATTTGAGAAAATGTAGGCGCTGTCTACAACACGGGGAAATATGTGGGCTCAGGTGTCGAATCAGTGGAACATTGTAGTCCTTTAGGCCCAATATGTAAAGAACAGACATCAAGGGCCTAATTAGTAAAAATGTGGGCAAAAGCCCATTACGCGAAAAATTTAAACTGAAGGGCCCAGTTCGTAGAACATTGAGCAGCAAGGCCCAATTGGTAAAAAGGTAAGTCCAAAGGTCCAATAAGTAACAAATAGTGGGCTCATGGGCCTAATTGGTGAAAGGATGTAGCTTTTTTAGCCCACTCTGCAAGAAAAGTGGGCCTAGTGGCCCAGTCCGTAGAACATAATGGGCCTTCAAAAGCCCAATCCATGGTAACATGTGGGCTCCAAGGTCCATATTTTTGAAATAATATGGGCCTAAAGGCCCAGAACGTAGGCCTAAAGCCCAATATAAGTGGAAAGAATGGGCTTGAAGGCTCATCTTGTGGGGCCCAGTTGGTATAACATAACTGGCCTTAAGGCCCAATCCATGGTAATAAGTGGGCTCAAAGGCCCATTGTAGAAATAGCCTGGGCCAAATGGCCTAATTTTTGAAATAATATGGGCCTTTAGGCCCAGTAACGAGGAATAAAGCCCAATAAATGGAAAGAATGGGCTAAATGCCCATTTTGTGGGAGGACGGGAGTGGGCTCAATGGCCCAATTACCGAAATAATGTGCACCTTCAGCCCAATAAGTGAAAATTTTGGGCTCAAGGGCCCAGTTTGTGGAGTTTTACAGCCTAAAGGTCCAATAAGTAAAATGTGGGCTGACAACCCACTACATAGACGTGAGCTTAATGGCCCAATTGATGGCAAAAGTAGGCCTTACGTTCGACCCAATACGCAGAGAAAATGTGGTGTCGATGACTCCATTCGCGGAACAATACGAGAAAAACGTGGGCCTTGACGTAACGGCAGACCCAAGAATGCACTACATTTACAGATGGCCCAGTAACTACTTCTATGTTGGACATATGGACCTGATATATAATAGACCTAATGGACCAATAGTTAATTTTATGGGAATGCAATCCAGTTTAAATTGATATAACGCCACAATCTGAATTTTTTTTACCGAGTGATTCCATCCCATATAAAATCTTTGGGGTAAATGGGAACACCCAAAATGAGCCTGTCTACTTTATTGGACTATTGCACAAAGAACGAGTAAATCCGAAGTTTATTGCCAGGCCTTGCTAGTTCACATTAAAATCCTACTTCTATGACCCAAAACAAAAATCAGTATATTGGACTAAAA